GACAGGGAAATAGATTTGAACGAAGAAGTTTCGTAAAGAGCGCGAACGGTAGTGTGATGTAAAATTACTGCTAGAAAGTGACCCGAAAAACAGCGCTAACTCGGTAACTCGTGGCCCGATTTTAACTAAACTTGTTTTATTCTGTTTCTATTCTCATTTCTTTTCTTATTTCATTACAAATATGCGTTATTATGCGCCGTTTTTGCTGTATTTAATAACAGACAAGCAAACAAACAAACAATCTCAGAGTTTTAGTAGTATATAGATAGATATAAATATCCAAACAAATATACTGATGTGGCATCTTCGAGTCGTCCTTGAGAGTCAATGTGTTGATTGAATGAATTTTCTATAAATGAAAGAGAATCCTAATATTAACCTATGGTTGTCTAACTTCGTGACAAGTCGTCCACTTTGTACATAACTTTACTACTGTACACATGTTTCGTTGAAAATTATTCCATGCACAAACACAGTAAGGGAAAACGCACTCTATGTCATATTCCATACAAATACACAGTATGGGAAAGAGCACACTATACCATATTTCCTGTACAATTCACAGTAAGGGAAAAAGCACTCTATGTCATATTTCCTGTACAATTCACAGTACGGGAAAGAGCATATTATGTCATATTTCCTGTACAATTCAAAGTATGGGAAAGAGCTTACTATGTCATGAACACTTGAAATACACCTCAATTGACATTGCACATTTTTTTTTCTTCTTAATTTGAAATACTCGGACTGGGTTGTATTTGAGTCGTGTAGGGGTGTTCGCTTTCTTATAGACTAGAAATATGAAATACATGCAACACAATTTTCCCCAGATTTCCAATATCTTATATTAATTGGAATGATGTTCTACTAAAACATGTTTTTAATGAAATACGATATTAATCTATGTTAACTATATTCCATCCTTGACTAAACATATTTTATGTTAATTGTATATTTAAACATGACATTTTATGTGGAACAGGTGTGCTCAATTTTTAGCTTGAGCCAAATTGTTAAACTTCTAAAACATTTTGAACATTTAAAGACATCTTTCAAAATTTTTAGTGCACACTGGAGGGATTTACACATTTTGATTAAAAGGTTAGAGAAAAACGACTTTAAACTCCAGATAATTATAAAAGAACTTTTTATCTGAACCAACGTTTCCCTGATGAAGCCGCAAAGACGAAACGG